AGCAGCAGCAGCAGCAGCAGCTTGAAAGTTCTTAGTACCATTTTCATCCTTGTTGTTGAAATTTGCTGGTCTTTCCTTTAGGCCTAGGAGGTCTATAGCGCCACTTCTCTCAGTGTTATTGTCGCAATCCTGAGGAGGGGACTCAAGGGGAGTCGTGTTGCTGAGACCTTTTTCCTGTTCCTCCATTCGTTGTTTTCCAGCAGCAGCTGCTGAAGCAGCACCAGCAGCAGCAATAGTTTCTGAAGATACTTCGTTTCCCATGGTTATATTAGCAAAAGCAGCTGATAATCCATCCATTGCAGCTGGATTGTGAACAATCGATATGGTGACAAGTACAGCAGTTCTGCAAGAAACAACAAGCGCTTTCGCACCAAGTAGCTACCACTACTATCGTGGATGTGGTTCAAACCATTTTATTGTCTGTTGCTACTACATCTTCTTCCACGCTAATGGCTATCATCATCCTATCGTGGACAATGCATTCCCAAGTAACAGACAAGTATAGCTCCATCCATAGTGACGCCAACAGACGCAGCAAGAAGAGAAGGATAGCTTATTTGATGAAGGAAACTGTTGTTGCTGCTAGCGTGAACAGAAACAGAAAACAAGCAAAAAAAGGAAGCAAATATTGATTCCTAGTACAAATCTGGTGTAGGATTCTACGGCAAAATTGGATTTCAGGGGGATATACTGTATAATTTTCGATATTTTGATCTATCTTATTAGCCAATCAGATTGCTTGATTCCTACCAAATTATAGTGTTATCCCTAACTCTAAATTAACACCAAAATCGCTCTAAAATGACACGGTGAATAGCTGTGTACTGTACTGTATGAAAATATTTTTTAGATACAGTACGGTACTACGACTGTACGGTACCGTAATTGTCATACAGTAACTGTTCTTCAGAACTGGAATTTCGTACTGGTATTGGTTTGTGGACCTCAACTTTGACAGTGTTGTAACAACACTCTGATGTTCTTCATTACATAATGATGAGTTCGCCAAGCTGATTCTTTGATAAGTGTGATGACTCCCCCTCTGACTTCGTATTCTTTACGAGTACCAGCGCACACCGCACCTCYAGCGGTGCTGTACCTGTAGAATAAAATCAGGGCTTTGAGGGAGGTGATCGTCGTTTTTGACTAGCTAGATTAAAAATGACAAGCCATTCTTCGAAAATGAGCAGATTGGGGCATATGTTTCAGCCATCTGCCAATTTCAAATATGAGCTGGCAAGACAGTTTTTTTGATGGAACACGTGAAATGTACATGTGTACTCGCCGACACGCAATTGTGCTGAATATGTATGAGTTCGAAGTCAACAAACAAGAACGAGTACTGTATTATTACGAGTGTGGTAAATGTTGACTTCGACTTGCCATCCCGTAACTCCCGTGAACATTAGTTTCCATCAACAAGTAGCGTTTACTGGCAACAGGTGAAGATCGCTTTTTATATTTTAGTGCAACATATTGGAATTAAAAACAATGATTCAAGATTTGTGGAGGTCAAAGGAGCAACGCAACCTAGCCCCGTTGTCGGTACCTGGAGCATCAAGTGCGGGTTCCGTACGGGTGGTGTCCGGTTCTGGATTTCGATATGTAATCCCATTTCCCTTTCGGCTTCATGAAATGTTGTCGAATGTAGATACGCTACACGATAGTTCGATTGTATCTTGGCTTCCAGATGGTCGGCACTTCAAGGTCCACGATCCTCGCAGGTTTGTTGAGACGGTGATTCCAAGCGCATTCAAGCAAAAGTCGCTGAAATCGTTTCAAAGACAGCTCCACCTATACGGGTTCCAAAGAGTCCATGAGGGGCCAGATAAAGGTGTGTTCGATGAATTTCGTCATACAAAACAATGACGACATGCATCTATACAAAATCTAGTATTGCAATAAGGCTGATAAGATTCTAACCTTGGACTATTTGTTCCCTGACGCAACTCATTTCCTTAACAGGTGCGTATTATCACGAAAAGTTTCTTCGTGATGATCGAGACTTGTGTCTATCTATAACAAGAGCAAAGGCCCCAAAAAGAAACCGTACGGCATCGACGAAAACGACAACAAACACCAAAAAGAATACGAAAAAAGTACCTTCACTCTACGCGAATACAAAGACAACTGAGACGAGGGGGAGCGAGAAAAGTAGCTTGAGTGCCATGCCTACGCCAACTATAAACATGCCAATAAGTCAGAATATTTTTGATGCCGAATCACAAGCTCGGCAATCTTTGTCATCTGAATTCAGCGTCGCAACAAGAGGGCCATTGCACACAGCGTCATCCTCCCCATTCCAATCGAGTAATGCAGTATTGCGTCAGCAGGATCACTTCTCTTCTTCCTCAAATTCACGCCATGGTCCTACAAACGTCACGCATCCGCAACAGACCATAAATAATCAACAACTAGAGTCTTCTGTGGCTGATACTTGTCGATGGCTCATCGATGCTGGGGTCCCGATGTCTGCCTTTGACCCGGTTTCAATCGGCGACATATCTCGGTCCGCACCACTTGCTGTTCCTCAGCTTAATACCTCTGCCACCTCCTCTTTCTCCCCTACCATTAGTCAGAAAACAGTAAAGCAAGAGATCAAAACGGGAAACTCTTCAGCTACGAATATAATGGCATCGGTTGACAACATTGGAGATCTAGCGCCACAAATGAATTCCAGTGGTGGTAATGACAACAACTACGATCTAACATCTCTTTTCACGATGAGCTTACCATCCAACAACAGCTCGGCATCAATTGCATTCGATAATGACCATCTGCTCACAGATTTACTCCCTGGTGAAAACTTGCCTTTGGTTGACGATTCCCTTTGGGCGTTATAGCCTGTGTTAGGCTTATCACGAGACTTAAACTCCATGTACATAAATTGCAACAAATGAAAATTCGATATGGCAAGGTTTCCATTGTAATTGTGCTAAGATTAACGTTTCACTAAGAGATTTGCACGGTGTGTCATGTCGTAGATTTCATTATATGAAGTATTTAATTTGAATATCCATGATGGTGTCTTCAGTGTAAGAATATTTAAAGTTTGCCATGCAACCATCATTTCCCCGTCTCAGTTGAGTCGAACGTAAAAAATTTCTCTTTCTAGCTGATGGTAATTGATTTCAACAGAAAGAAGACGGCTTCAGTTCAAACCCGGCAGTATTTCATTGTCGTGGTAGAATATGATACTTTATGTTGCCCCTTTTTTAATACCAAAACGAATGCTTTATTATCATTGAACAAAAGTGGCATTTATAGCGAAGGGAAGGCACCCTCGTCTTGAACATTGAGACCCTGTGGTTTCTTGTTGCCACCGGCTTTGGCTCCTCTACCAGCACCTCTGCCACCTTTCCCTCCACGCCCTCTACCGCGGCCGTCTCGTCTATCTCCACGTCCAGCACCTCTGCCACGCCCATCTCGCCTGTCTCCGCGTCCACCATCAGAGTTAGCCTTAGCCTGGACGGATTACATTCAAATAATCAACAAAACAACAAAAAAGGTTAATTTATGCTCCAAACAAATGAAAACAAATCATTAAAACACCATACAGTGACTTCGAAGTTCATGTTTTAAAACTCCCTCTGTAGTATACTTACAACACGAAAGCCAACATCCACAGTTTTCTTATCTACTTCCTTCTTTTTCCTCTCCTTTTTCTTCTTGCCTCCTCCCATTTCCAAAAAAGATTCCTCTTCACCTTTCGCGCATGCAGCCATGCCTGCGAAGTCGTTTTTCACTTCTCTCAAAGCCACTTCTTCCTTTTTGCCTTTGGATGCCATGTAATCGGCATAAGTCATGGTATTGTCTTCCTTCTCGGGTTCGACTTCTTCAGAAGGGACATCAGGGCTTTCGTTGCCATCGGTTGCAGGTGCCACCTCTTCGTTTTCGTTAATACGACCCTCGGCTTTCTTTGCTTCAGCCTTTTCGTTACCCCAGTTTCTGGCACCGCCGCCTCCCTTTTTGATCTCCTTTCCGCGTCCAGTCCCGCTGCGACGATCATAGGCGCGCTTGCCATCACGGACAGGAGGGCGCCCTCCGCGGCCGTGCTTTGTGTTCCGGTCGTTGTTCTTTGGTTTGCTCTTAGGGTCGGGCTTAGATGCGGGGACGACTTTTTGAGCATTGCTCTTCTTGGGAGCCTTGGCCTTGGGAGGACCCTCGTCGTCCGAATCGTCGAGAGCAGCAAACGGATTAGAAGACTTTTCAGTTCAAACAACGGAATGGATAACAAGGTAAGAAATAGATGAGAAAATGAATGATCTACTAGTTCGAAGTAGACTTGAATAGTACAGAGATGGGTAAATCTGATGTCGATTCCTGGAGAATAGCCCGGCTCGAAAGTTTGGTAAAATACTCACCATGGTGTTGATGGAACTTGGTCGGTCCTACAATATCGTTTAATAGCAACTGCAATGCTATCGAACAACTCGGGTACCGTATTGTTAAATTTTGATTGTAGAGTCCTCACGAGCCGAGAAAAGGATATTGAAGGACGTCCAGGAACCCAGTACCAAAACAACGTAATCGGCAGTCACAACAAAGTTTCAGTAAAGTACGTACAACATGATCATCACCTTACATTGCATCAACTGTACGGTACGAGTGAACCGCTTGTTTTGAAAAGATTTATTGGAGGGCTCCCATTTACTCTCCGATGTGTTACGCGGTTGTCTGTCCGTCCTCCGTCACACTATTTGACGCGAGGTACCATTAGGTAGTACGTACCTACCTTGGTATCCGTACCCGGGTACGTTTTACCATTATCAATTACTTTATCTGTTTCCTCTGGAACCTGGAACTCAAGCGTGCACGCCTCTGCTTTCAGATACTTTGGAGGTGGAAAACAAACCAGCAGAGATATCAAAAATGTCGTTGGCGGTGGGTTGTATGGTCACTGAACTCTGATCATCAGAATGGAGGCAACAAGCCACACATAATCATGGTGCTTGGCTAGTATTCAAATATAGGTAGTAGCAAAAATTTAAGAAAAACTTGTTTGGTACAAAGATTTCTATGAAAGCGCGGAAGTGTTTGGCTGACTTGACGTCCACAAACAAGTGAGTTGACTATTCATCTGATTCTTTCTTCATCTTAATAAAGCAAAAAATATATCTGCAGGTTTTATTTTGAATTGTTGTCCTAACCTTGAAGATTCGGCCCACCAAAACCATGTTGACTATTTCCACCTTCTCTTTGCATGGCACGCAACAGTGCGAGCGCATTTGATACATCGTGTGAAGAGTGCGTGCCCTCAGTCGAGCCTGGGTTTCCACCTCCACTGTTACTGTGATGGTAGAGGGGATTTCCCTGCACTCCTCCGCTTCTAATACTACCTCCACCGTTGCTTCCCCCACTACCAGCATATCCCAACAGAGATTGAGCATTCATAATCGCCTGTTGATCAGCTTGCGGTTGATTTCTATTTGCATTACTGAGACTTTCCAAAGCAAGTAGACCCTGAGCTAGTCCTGGTCCAGGAGCAGCATTGAGCCCAATCAAAGAACTCAACTGGCTGCCGTGATTGGATTGCCCCAATGCAAGCATGGGATTCTGTCTGAGCTGCTGYATTTGTAAGATTCGCTGTATAGCAGCAAGGTCAGCTGGTGCATCAGACTTTGCTCCACTCTCGTGTGAACCTGCTCCGCCGCCATCCTGCTGAAATGCAGCAGGTAACCGAGCATGGTGCATACGATTCTGAGCTTGAGCTTGATGTAGAAGCTGGGATGCAGGAGACCAAGCCTGAAAYAAACCTGGCATTGATTGCTGCTGAGACTGTTGTCCTAGTATTCTTCGCGCATCCTCGTGGGATTGTTGTGACGCATGGTGTTGCTGTTCGATTTGATGTTGATGTCGACTGAGAATTTGGTGCAAGGCAGACGGAGCTGGATGATGATGCTGTTGCTGCTGCTGATGATGACGTTGCTGTTCTTGGTGCTGGAGAAGCTGAAGTTCCAGACGCTGATACTGTGTATGCTGTTCTAAAAGTTGCATTATCTCGGCATTTGTCTTTCCGGGAAACTCTCCAGAACGAGATGCTATCATCTCTGCRAGGTCACTCCTCGGAACCGGAGGACTTCCACTTCTAGACGACAAAGTATTTTCTGCATCCCGTATGATGGAATCCTGCACTCGGTTCTGACCATGTTGTTCAGCCATAAGATTTTCCACCATTGATTGTGGTGGCATCGTTTCATGCTGACCTATGGCGTCTTGTTCCACTGCTGTATTTGCTTCTTGTGTTGATGGTTGGGTAGATGCAGCAGTTTGCGAGGAAGCTAGCAATCGGTGATTCGATGCGGTCGTTTGGTGAGCTAGTTGCGTTGCGGGAGGCGGAGGCGTCCTTCCTCTCTTCATTGCTTCATCATTCTGATTTTTACCTTTTTTCCGTACAGGGTCGTTGGTTTTTGATTTTTGGGCATTGCTGTCACCTTGTTTTGCTCCACTTTTCTTCTCAGATTTTGCGCTTGACTTTCCAGTCTTTTTCTTCTTGTAATCGTAATAAAAATTCTTAATTTGAGACTCAGTTTTTGTGCCGACGGCTCTCGACAGTGTCGCCCAATTTTTGCCTGTGATGAGGGAGTGAAAAGATGTAAGGGTTTCTCAACGAAAAAATAAAACGACTTCTTTTCACAAAAAAATACTTACCATGCTCTTCCAAAGTCGCTAAAAAGATTTCTTTCTCCGCCGCTGTCCACTTTTCTGGTGCTTTCCTACTTGGGGCCGAGGCGACAGCATCCGAATCCAACTCCCCGATTTCTTCGCGCAAAGTTTCAGGCTTGATTTCATCTTTAGTCTTGTTACGTTGGATGGCCATCGAGTCTTGAGAGGACTCACGAAGAAACTTCATATGTTTTTTATCAAGAGAGAAAAGTGGATCTCTACCTCTCTTGCGTGATTTCCATCTCGAGTCTTCGGAGCGATCAGCGTCATCGTGTTCTGCGGCCACTGCTTTGTCAATCTCCATCGAGTCCAATACTTCACGTTGTAAGGGATGAAGCAGTCTTGTGTTATACGTCAGGTCGTTTTGAGGAACAGTAAAATTGATGGGCTTTTCCTTGTTTACACCCGCAGTAATTCGAGCTCCTACCGAAATTGAAGCCTGAATCGAAGCATCCCATACCTGATAATCTCCTTTTCTTTTCCTTCGCATCATGTGCTCCTTTAAGGCCCCCTTGTAAGGTACGGTTTGTTTTGAATCATAATAAAATGCAATGCAGTCCTTCGTAGTTTTATTCTTCAGAAAAGATGCAATTCTCCGGAAATCTTTTGGAAATTGAAGGAATCGGTCAAGGAATACGCACTTTTCCATATCGGTCCATATATTTGTCAACTTTTCATCTTCAGCTTCTCGAAATGGATCATCTATTCTACGAGACGTGAATGTATTTACGTAGGTGGCGGTCAATTCCTGCGGAAGATAACAACAGAAAAAAACTTATCAGAATTTTGCTTCTCCGTGAATTCAATTTTGGCTCGGCATCCCATCACAGCACTTACTCTTTCCAACGGGATAACTTGGCGGGGCAATTTCGAACCTCCGTGAGTGATTCGTTTTTCCATGGCCTCCCTCGCAGCAATTTCAGCAATTATTTGCTCCTGCTCGTATTCTGATCGAACTTCGTTTCCACGACGGGCTCTTCTATAAGGGTTATTGGACGATCTACCACCAGATTCGATGGGCTTGGATCCCTTGTCACTGGGTTTTTCTTTCTCTTTTTTACCACCCAATATAGATTTGCGTGAGGTGACTGAAACTCTTTGTGCTCTCTTTGCAAGCTTCCTTTGTTGTTTCTCGTAGAGGCGTTTTCTAACTTCATATTCCTCGGCAAGCATTAACCATTGTTTGTTCAACCGTTTTTGTTTGTCGCGTACAAATTCCTTCACCAACGGACCAATAGATGCATGTGTTTTTTCATTTTGCTCGTAGTATGGCGTTTCTGACGGCTCCGAGTATAAGCTATTGGAAAGTCCAGTTACCTGATTCGCCATGATTGCCCATTCTTCGTACGTCTTCTTGTATTTTGGATCTATTGCTTCGTGTGGTGCATTTTGCAGGATTGATGATTGGAAGTTATAAGTGCTCGTACCAAATTGTGGATTAGCAATAGAAAGTGATAGAGCATGTGCTTCTTTCGCTTTTCTTTTATTTTCCAAAGAAATCGAATTTACAATATCCTCCAGCGGAATGCTTTCTCTTTTTGCCACCTTCTTCTTTTTCTGTTTTTGCTTCTTTTTCTTTTCATTCTCGGTGATCAATTTGTATTGCTTTTCTGCTTTCGCTAATTTCTTGTTTATATCCTTGGCTGCCAGTTTGGATCTATCCATATCAGAGCGAGCTGTATCAATGCTCTCGTCCATTGCTCCGGAAGCCTCCTTTATTTTGACTCCCAATTCTTGGTCCAACAAAACCTTCTTTGCCTCCTTCGCCTTCGTGAGTTCCTCGTCCAAACTAGCTTTGCGCTTTTTCAATTCCGCTTGGTATCGTATTTCACTTTGATCCTCGGCCTCTTGTTCTGCCAAGATCTTCGAGTGTTCCTCTTCTTTTCTCCGCTCCTCCTTTCGCTCCTTGATTTTCAGCTCTCTTTGGTTTTTCTTTTCCTCCAACAATGTGGATTCCTGGATTTTTTTTGCTTCCTCCTCCTCCTTTGTCTTTATGATTTCCTGTCCCGCATCAGCAGCTTCTGACTCTGTACTTTTTACGAGTTTGTCGATCTCTGACATTGCCTTCATTATGTCGTTTTTCGATGGTAATTCGTTCGCACCGGTTTTGGTTTTCATGGCGGGCACGACCTCCCGAAGATGCGACAAAACGGTTTCGGCACGTTTTACAACTTCTGAATTGCCGAGTGACGAAACCGACAGCGGCGCACACGGCTCGGGTTCCACACTGGGCTTCGCTGCAGCGCTTGTTGCGTTGTTGGTGGAATTCGTGCCCAGCGGCGCCTGGGAAGAAGCCGAGCTGCGAAGGTTATCGCCGGCGGAAACCGTCCTTCGGATTTGCCGGTTCGCCTGACCCCAGCCCCGACTCCTGCCGAAAGGATCTACGGGATGTGCCTGTGGGTTCGGTCTGTTGTGGCCACCCGAAGCTGGTGGTTCGGAAGATCCGGAGGTTTCCTGACGATGGTGCGTGGAATCCGAGCCGGCGTTGTTGTTTGGAATCGAACCATCCGTGCGTTTCAGGCGAGGGTCCCAGTTCCAGGCCTGGGAAGATTGGCTAGAGCTCGACATTTGCTGGGAAGAAGACCGCTGTAAGTCGCCGCCCATGCTGCTATTCTGTAGCTGCTGGCTCGCATTCGTTTTTTTCATAGAGTTGTTTGTGTTCCCGGCGTTTAACGAGCCACCCCGATCCATTTTCGACGACCACGGCTTGCCAGGTGCGTTGCTCGAGTGATAGTCTGGGCGATCGCGATCGCGGTCTCGATCACGATCGTTGCGAAACGTAGAGTCGCTGTGTGTCCGACGCAACCCACCAGGGCCTAGGGACGTACGAAAGCTACCCATGGACCGACTGGGAGGTATGCACATGTTGTTGTCGGGTCCCTTCGATCCCGGTCGCATAGCGGAGTCCGCCAAGCTGCTATACGAGCCGAGGCGACGGGACGGAGGGTTTAGGTTCGGAGGTCCTCCGGGTTGAGACCCGATATCGTTGCCGGGCCCGACCGAGCCAGACATACCGTCTCCGGGCAGGCCACTCGGGGGGAGGGGCCCCCTTCTCCTGGGATCCGTGGGCCTCGAAGGCGCTCCTCCACCGAGCGACGGGGCAGAAGAAGGGAATCCCGTCCCTTGCGAACCCTCTTGGTTCTCGATCATGTTCCCCCCTGCATCGGCTCCCGGCATGGGGTCTCTTCCTCCCTCTCTTCCCAGCAATCCTCGTTTGGGAAGACCACCGTGCGGTCCGCCGGGCCCGATGGACAGGGGTTCTCGAGTTGGCGGCCTTCCCTGGTACGACGAGGACAACGAGAGGTCCCTTCCCCGATCCCTATCGGGTGGCGGCCGGATCCTGTCTTCGTTGTTCCCGCTTGGATTTCCCTTGTTTCCACCGGCGTCGTCCATGTCCCTCTTGGGCATGGCGTTGTGGTCCCGATCTCGGCCGCCGCCCTCCGAATGAAGCGACGGGGGTGGTGGCAGGTCCACCCCGCGTCCGAAGGAGGGAAGCTTGCTCTTGCCAAAGGGCTGCGGCGAGGCCTTGGCTTTCGGGTGCCCGTCGCGGAAGCCGTGGCCGTCCCTGTCTCTCGGACCGCCGTCTCGATCCCTCCCAAAGGGTGGCGGCTCCCTCCCACCCGGACCGCCCGGCGGTGGGGGACCGCCGAACGAACCATCTCTGGATCCGAGACGAAGGCCGGCCATGCCGCCGCCGTTGCTCCCGCCGCCGTGGGGCCCTAGATCGTCCCCATCGTTGGTGAAGGAGCGGTTCCGGCGAAAGCCCCCCCGGGGCGGCCCGTTGGCCTCCGAGGCCCAGGAGGGTTCCCTCTTGATCAGGCCCCTGCCGTCCCCGTCTCGGTCCCGGTCTTGCGGACCGCCCATCGGTGGCGGCGGGGGAGGCCCCCGCCCCCCGCGAAAGCCGCGGCTGGGACCGGGGGATCCCATGGGCTTGCGGAAGGGGGGCTCTCCGTTTCCGTCCCGGCCGTGCTTGGGTTTTCCCATGTCCTCGCCGCCACCCTGGGCGACGCCTCCAAAATCCCTCGGCAGCGGCGGGTGGTGGTCCCCCGGTTTGCCTTCGCGAAAGTCCCGGCCGTAGTGCGACGGGCCGTCGTTGAGGTGCGGGTTCCCCCTCCCGCCAAACCGTCCGCGGCCACCGAATCTCCCGCGGCCTCCAAAGCGGCCCCGGCCTCCGAACCTGCCGTCTCCCCGACCGCCCCGGCCTCCGAACCTCCCGCCCCCTCGTCCCCGAAAGTCGTGCGGGGGCGGGGACGCCGAGGGAAACGGACCGGGACCGCCGTTTCCCCTCCGGTTGTTGTAGTCGGACTTGTGGGGATTGTTGTTGCCGCCGTTGTTGCCGTTGCCGCTGTTGTTGTTGCCGGCGTGTGGGCCGATGGGGTTGCGACCCCCCGCGCCACCGCCAATGTTGTTTCGTTCGGGGACCTCCCCGGATTCTTCCATGTCGTCCCCGTTGTCCTCCGGTCGAATGCGACGAAAACCGCCGCGGTTGTCCGAGACCCAACCGGATTGCCAGGACATGGTTGCTGTCGCTAATGTTCTTGCTGTTGCTGTTGCTGTTGCTGTTGCTGTTGCTGTTGCTGCGTTGGTTTGGTTTGGTTTTGCTTGGGATGCGATGCGATGCGTTGTTGCGTGCTTTGCCGTGTCGTGCTGGTTCCAAAGGTGCGGAGCCGTGGGCTTCTTGTTTTGCGCCTTGGAAGGAGACCGATCGGTGGTGGGTGCTCTGCTGGTTGATCGAGTGCAGTGGAAGAAGTACGTTTCACCTTGGCATGTGCTGTCTGGGTGGTGTTTTGGAGCTGCAAAACAATATTCGTTCTCCTACCAAGCAAGGCACGATAAACGATAAATAATACTAATGCAGTTCCTACACGATACGAGCAGCAACAATAATGTTGTGCAGTCCAGTCGAGGCCGGTGCTACCCGGTATGCTGTCCTTTGAGACATCGTAAAGAACGTACCGTACGGTGCGTAGGGAACACTTTCGAAAGCTAGTGGTTGATGGTCTGTACGTACTTCGAAGTTTCAAAGCAAGCTCGATGAAATCCCGCGCCTCTCTTCACTCCGGTACAGCATAGCATGGTAACGCCGTAGTATCGTACGGTACGGGTAGCTCCCTCCCCTTCATCAAAAAGCGAAGAGACGAAAGGCGACTGAAAGCCCTACGGTACCCTGGCTACTACGGTACGTAGGAATACGACATCGTACCGTACCGTACCATCCTGTCGACCGCATTTGCATTATTTTTTTTATTTGCAATMCGCGTTCCGCCCGTTCCCTGCTCTCAACARCATTCGACCACCAACAACCCCAACTTGCTCTCGTCCGAATTTGCGCAACGGCAACGACAGCGACAGCGACAGCGACAACAGGCATCGCYTGAATTGAACWCAGACCGAACGAAAGCTTTCTCTACCCAGCGCACACGCGAAAAAGACGACGGAAGCGAAGAGTCGTTGGAGACCTTCTCGCACTCTACCGCATCGGATCGGATCGGATCGGATCGGATCGGATTTCATCGGATCGTGGGCATTGCATCAGCGCCTCTACACAAGCCGAACCAGACCACATCCCGCCACGTCGATTGTACTATTTATCGTTCGATCTCCGAACAAAGAGCCCTGCAAGAAACGAAAGGCCGTGACGCAAATCTCATAGCGTCCTTCCCCGTCCCATTCTATTCCACCCGACAAACCTCAACAATCGAGGCTTGGCAGGGGACGCCAACTCAACAGGCATCGAATACAATACAATACAATACAACACAACACAATAAATAAAATACAATACACAACAAAACATCGTCGCAACAATGGGCAAGGATCGTGTTTCTTACTTCTATCACCCCGAAACGGTAAGTACCCGCTTTTGCGGGATGGTTCCTCTTGGCGTCGGCTCGGGCTTTTCCTCTGGATCTCGAGAACGGACCGCACGCAACACGAACACTCGTTCACCCACTCRTTCACMCACTCACACATCCACACACTCATTCTGGTACGGCACGCACCCGTCCTTGCCCGAACGATAATCATCGCATCGCAAAAACCACAGCCTCTTCATTACTATGGGCCGTCGCATCCGATGAAACCCCACCGTTTGAAACTGGCCCACCATCTCATCCTCGCCTACAAACTATATACGAAAATGGAATGCTATCGGTGCCATCCGGCAACGCCGGGTGAAATGGCGCAGTTCCATTCCGACGAATACGTTCAGTTCCTTTCCAAGATCACCCCCGACAACCTGAGGACGTACGCGAGTGTCTTGCAGAAGTTCAACGCGGGGGACACGACCGATTGCCCCGTCTTCGACGGCCTGTACGACTTTGTCCAGCTGTACACGGGCGCCAGCTTGGACGGKGCCGTTCAACTGAATCAGCAACAGGCCGACATATGCATCAACTGGAGCGGGGGGCTGCACCACGCCAAAAAATCGGAATCCTCMGGGTTTTGTTACATCAACGACATCGTCCTTGCCATCCTGGAGCTGCTGAAGGTCCACGCCAGGGTCCTGTACGTGGACATCGACGTCCACCACGGGGACGGGGTGGAGGAAGCCTTCTACACAACGGATCGCGTCATGACACTGAGCCTCCACAAGTACGGGGAYTTTTTCCCCGGAACGGGSCACATCCAGGACGTTGGCGCGAAGGAAGGCGTGGGCTACTCGGTGAACGCGCCCCTGCAGGCGGGAATCACGGAYGAGACCTATCTGAACGACCTGTTCATCCCCGTCTTTGACAAAATCATGGAGGTCTTCCAGCCGGGTGCGGTGGTCCTGCAGTGCGGGGCGGATTCCCTGACGGGCGATCGGCTGGGGTGTTTCAACCTGACCACCCACGGGCACGCCGACGCCGTCAAGCACGTCAAATCGTACGGGGTTCCGACCCTGGTCCTGGGAGGCGGGGGGTACACCATCCGAAACGTGGCCCGCTGCTGGGCGTACGAAACGTCCGTGCTTCTGGAGGAACCCATCGACAACAACATCCCCTTCAACGACTACTACGAATACTACGCACCGGACTTTGAGCTGCACCTCAAACCGGATTCGAGCATGGACAACGCCAACAAAAACCTCAACAGCATCAGGACCGAGCTGTTGCAGCAACTCAAGGATCTCCAGGGCGCTCCCTCCGTACAAATGCAACAGGTTCCACCACCCTTTCGGACGACCTCCGCGGCCAAAAACAACGGCGACGACAACGACGGGGAAAAGGGATCGAGGAAACGMATCAARAAGACACACGCTTCGGAGTTGTACGATGGCGTCGATTAGAAAAGAAAGGAAACGGGATTGCACGCACTTTGCAAAAGATGCGTGCTACAACAAATTCTCTTTATGGAATGCCACGCATTATACCGACGCTTCAAATGTACAAAAGACTCGTTGGGGGGGGGGAGTTCGAACAATTCTCGTTATTAGAAGTAGAAGTGAAGGTCACGAAAGTCTGGCAGATTGGTGCGGGAGGTAGCGCAGAGGATGAAAGTATTCAATTACGACAGAAATGTAAAATACTTCTAAGAATGCCACTCATTATACCGACGCTTCAAATGTGCAAAGGACTCTTGGGGGAGTTCGAACAATTCTCGTAATTAGAAGTTGAGGTTATGAAAGTTTGGCAGATTGGTGCGGAATTACGCTAAAAAGGTAGAATACTCATAACAAACTGTAAGCATTAAGACACGATGTAAATACTTCGGTAACCCGCTGCAGATGGTTGAAATGCTTTACGCACTATACGCAGCATAGCCAGTGTGTTTGTGTTTGTGTTTGTGTTTGTTATCCTTCTCTCGAATTCGCCACTGATACCTACAGATTGTATTCTTCGGTATATTTGCGAATATGTATTTTCCCGATGCTCCGCAGGTTTSAGATTGAAGGGCGTGCAAGTTGCTGATGGTCGGAATGTGTGAGRAATATTTTGCTGACSAATATGATCTCTGAAAAGGTAGTAAGCGCACATCCGCCAGAGAATACCACCAATYCCTATGATGTCACTTTTGGTTGTTCTTGTCGATCGACGTGCGGTAATGGAACATTCTATGTGCTCTGCCGTAGAAAGTAAAMCGATAGAAAAGAAGACGAAATCAAGACYATTCGAATCGCTCTAACAGAACAGAATCACAGCAACTCTGTTCTAGAMAATATGTAGCTTAAATGTTTAAAATTCGAATCTAGTAGAGAACAAAGAACAACCCCAAACTTGCAACTCCATTCATTCSAATGCAAGAAAAGAAATAGGGCGACGACCATGACACACACGTTTTGCGAATGAGCTSCGTCGTGTCRCCATAATTCCGTTTGGATTTTGGAAGTTGTGTCGATTGAATCATCCAGCGAACGATGTCAATAAAAAAGAACATCCGCATMYYGTACAGTATTCATACGGAAATTAGCGATCACGCAGATCGTTGGAATGGAATGGTCTGCATGGGCAGAGCATCTTCGACGCACTGTGCGACCATGGAAATAAGAAGTACCACCTTGGCCATGGCAGAATCATATCGAATGGGAAGCTGTGTGTTCTACCTTTCTTCCCATCTGTTGTTACGTCATTGGAAGACAGAATTGCATTTTATGTTCTGTCTTGGAAATAGAATTTCGAGAAAACGTCCGATTCCATTTCTGAGAACTTATGGGACATTGATRGGACAAACCATCTGGTATTGCCTCCAGCGTTTTATTTTTAGCGCAGTGAAATCATGCGTATCCTTATTCTTCTTTATTCCACAATATTCCATCCGGTGAGTTGGCGCGCTAGGTTTTAGATGGCGTGAAAAGGGTTCGCATCGTGATGTACGGTACGTACGAAAACCATACGGTAGGATTGTTCTTCAAGGAAGATTGCAATTTCAAAAATTCGATAGCTGTTACGAGACCCCGTGCATGTGTCATCTMGTCATCTCTAAATTTTTCTGACGGTTGGAACCGTATCAACGTACGGTACCGGGTACGGTGGAAAAACGGTGTTAGTACATTACCGAAATATCTCACGACGAGAACCCTTTCTCGCAAGTCAAGCTTGTTTGAAAATACAAATCGCAATGCAGCAGCCATCGCAAAACAAAAACCATCCTGCAATGCGCTGTGAGCRAATCAAATGCCAAAGTCTTCGCGATAGATCTTACTGAAAACAAAAGCGACTTGGTCATTCTATYTTATCTCAACAACAGTAGTATTTCATCATCCTCATTAACGAGTTTGTTGACTTTTTCAGGTGTCGATCGTTCAGTTCTGTTTATTAMTCAATCGGTGATTTCGTACCATGACTTCAGAATCRTTAGGATAYGATGTCGTCGAGAACGACTTCACTACCAACGCAGACCCAGATCTAATAGAAGCCCTGTCTTCCCCGCAGGTCTCTAATCCCGATTTCAACCCAAGGATTTTTTGGAGCGTCAATGCACTGATACTATTATTGATATTGCTCTCTGGTATTTGGTGTTGGTTTGTGCAAAGACATTTCTACAACGATGTTGGTCAGATGAGGAGAAGTGACGAAATCTACAGAGCCCGCCTCCGAAGACAACAAGAAGCCGAGAGAAACGAGTGTCCCGAAAAGCGACGACAAAAATTGTTGAAGAGTTTTTCGACTCACAAAGTCCAGATGGTGAGCGCTATTGTTTCTCTGATCTTTGACATTGCATGTTTTGGCGCATACTGGCTATTTCTATCGTAGAATGGAATATCCTCTCTTCTTGTCTTTCATCGTTGACGTGCTGCGCGATGCACGTACTGCGATTTCTAATTTTTCATTTATTTCTTTTTTACAGACGGTGAAGGAAGAAGACTTGATTGCAACAGATTTAAACGATGGGGGTACAACGGACAATTCAAGCGCGACAGGGGAACTAAATGGCTGCAATGACATCGAGAGAGGTCACGCCACTGGCACCTCTCTTGATAACGAAGAAACAGGGCATTTAAGACTAAGGGATGGGACCGGGCGCCTCGTTCCCAATTGTTGCGCCGTTTGCCTCTCAGAATACGAGGTTGGAGACATCGTTACATGGTCATCTAACCCATCGTGTATCCATGCCTTTCATCGCGAATGTGTTGTCGATTGGTTGATCAAAATGCAACCAGAAACACCCTGTCCTTGCTGCAGACAAGAGTTTACAGATCTTGAGATTATTCGACAAGAACGTAAAGTCAAATGGCTGGGGACCATTGCCTTTGATTTCAGCGCGATAAAGCTGTGGTAGTCAAATAAAAGCTTGCTTCTATTTGACGATGATGAAAGATGATTTGTTCCATTCTTTTCATGGTGCATTTTTTTACTACGAAGGATTGATTTGAGAAGGTACGAGTACTCATATTTTCGTTTGTACCATCCTTACCGGTACGTTACCCCCATATGATGAAAGAATCTTTAGAATCAAATCAATCATCAACGAACATGACTGATTTCGCGCAAAAAATACCTTCTGCGCGAATCAGTCAATCTTTTGAGAGAAAAAGGCGCTGGAAAGTTTTCATCACACCCGCTCAGCCCCGCCACATTGCCCCATATGCATCCTCGACACCCACATAATAGTAGATAGCTGTACGTAATGGTAACAATTAATAAATTACTGTATTTGAATTTCCTTCATTCTTCTTCGTGTTCTTCTTGGATTCTGATTTGTGTTGCCTCATAAACGGCAAAATCAAAGTGATTGTGATGGCTGACCAGTCCTCTCTTTTTGATGAACTCCAAGTAACCTCTTAGTCGAGATTATTTTTTGTTACTGTTTCGGCTTTGTAAAATGACTAGAAACATCGATTCTTCGACGACGRCCGTATAGATGTATCGATACAAATGATGTAACTACCGCCCTTCGCTTCAACAACTTGCGTGATAGACATACTATGTGTCAAAGTTTYCACTTTGTCAGTGCAGTACCGAGCATTCCTAAGGTTGCAACGATCAACCCTACACGTCCTCATAGTTCAGCTTGATCCTCWCAATGGAAAGCGAAAGAACTCGTTTGCTACTCGAACATAGTAAAGAATCCGTACCAATGCTAGTATAGAGGCTTACTGTAACGGCCACGATAAATCAACATCACCTTCCTAATTGTCAATCATTATAACCATACCTGGGAGTTTGTGACTTTCTACTTTCTACCACCTCGTCGACGTTTGCATACCATTTTCKCAAATTCGGAAATCTAGGCTGCAAATCGTCGTTATCAAAAATTGTGTTCCAGAGTGGCAAGCCTTCTAATCCCTTTAACACACCAAAGACTGCAAGGTCTCCGAGATCGGGCCCCGTCGGAGGCGACCGCAAAAACTTCTTTCCTTCGTTCGTCAGCTCCGACTCAAGTTCCTCCAGAGCGTCGTCGAGAGCAACCTTCACGTCGTCGATCTTATATTTTTCCTTTATCTTGGATGCCGCAAAATACATTGCTACGCTACCGATACACTGRATGCTGAAGCGCTGAACAGTCGAAAAAGAATTTGGATTTGAGTGAACATATCTAAAGGCTCGGAACGAATCTCCCAGAGAGCTGCAAATGTTTGGGTAAAGCAAGGGTGCCAGCTTGGTTCTAGCGAAGTTTTGCCATCGCGTTGAGGAATCAYCCGAGGTTTGATCGTCTCCGTTGTCAGAGTTAGCGTTAGGGTGATGATGCAAAAGTATTTCTTCTGTTCCGTTCAGTTGTTGAACCGCTTCGGCAGCAGGAGTGTATGGGTCGGTGTCCAAGACGGTGACGATTGGAACCTTGCGGTAGTTTTCGGAGAACTCGAGTTCTGCCTTCGTAAGGGGGTTGACCTCAACGGATTCGAACGGAATCCGCTGGTAAGTCAAAAATACTTTGGCAATGTTTGAAAACGGGCATATTTTATATTGATAGAGCTTGTACCGGTACCGGTGAATGTCGTCGCCATCGGTTGCCAATGCCTTGTGAGTGGATTGACTTCTTTTCTGAAACGAATACGTGGAATTAGTTCGGCGATCCACTGATGTTCGGACCAACTCAAARTCGTGATTTTGTGCTGCTACAATACAGAGAGAGGCTTTCTGAAAAACATACACATTGTGAAAGGATGATTGAGAGTATGATTCCTTTCCATCCAACGCCGTGCAATGCCGAAAAGGATGATTTCTCGCCCGCCGAAAGATCCGCCCGGCACCCGAAATTGCTATTGGTCCAATCGAGGTCATTTTTGTGTTCATTTTTGGGTTAGCTCGGCAATTCCTCGTTAAATTCAAATCCGACCTGATCTGGGACAGTGATTACTTCGCACRGAGAGATTTCAACAGATGGGCATCTGGTAAAATTCGAAACACCTTGAGTTATTGCAATACCGGTACGTACATTGCTCGATAYCCTAATTCAGTACGTACGTACCTGTACGGTTTTTCTATTCATGTTTCTGTACAATATTTTTTTTAGGTTCAAGTTCGTACGTACGGTACCGTACCGCAGGGGTCATAATTTAGAGGGGTGTGAAACGAATTTTTTTGCGCATCACGAAGCATGAGAAAAAAAAACTCATATTCCACGTGAGGTCCAAATTTCCAAAAAGTCACTCAAGGATTTTTTTTCATTCTCATTTTTACTGCATAATACTAGTAAAACTATCCAACCTTTAAGCAGTTACAGCTTCATCAAAAATACTACTATTTTAATTTTTGAGTAGCCAGTCTAGTCTAGTTTTTAATGCTGATTCTGAATATACCATTTTGTTGGATATTAAATTTATATTTGTGGTACTATTTTACTATTGAATAATGAACATAATTTTCCACCACAGTAGTGTAGTAGGGTTTCAAAACTATTCTACAAATAATGTGGACAGGAATATTTTGCGGGAAGGCACTGAGATGAGGGCGGCACACAGGTGACTCGTTCGTACAGAACGAACCGTACGGTACATCGCATTTTGCGTTTTCAGTGTGTGAAACCGTTTCGGTAGTACAGCTCATCGTACAAATAATAAATAATATCACTGCATCAGTCATTTTGTAATAGTACTAAGAAGTACTGTACGTAGTAGTGTACAATACAGTACTTTCTTTTTGGATTTTTAGTCGTTAATAGAGTCGTCGACGACGACGCAACAAATTCAACGCAACAAAAATTTGGATTTGAAAGCGCAACCGATCGAGTTCTCCATCCCGCAGAACTTACATGAATTTCATATGGTCATCGGTTGTTTTTGATTCCTTCTCGCCTCTTCCGACTACGAGACAACGACGAAACCTGTGAACCCGAACAACGYCTTTTAAGTTCGTACTCAGACCCCCAGGCCCTCTGAAAGCCTTACACATGCAAGGTTTGCCGGATGCCATCGATGGGACGATGGCCCCGCCGCCSTCGCCGGAGCCCATGAAGGTATACCTTAGGCTTCGACCAAGGAACAAATTGGAGACCATGAAACGAGGGAAAGACTGCATCGAACTACACGAGGATCCAAAGCGGATAACAGTAGACTCCCCGCGATTGGGTGAGCACGAGTTCTCCTTCGACCAGGTCTTTGATGAATTTTCGAGTCAGGAGGAAGTCTATCGAGAGAGCRTCTCTGCGATCCCCCCCAGGCTCGTCCGGGGTGTCAACACAACAATTCTTGCGTACGGACAGAGCGGGAGCGGCAAGACCCACACCTTGCTTGGGGAAGGGCTGGGCGTCGAACTGAATACCCTGGCTGCCGGACCTCAATCCACCGAGTATGGATCAACGACGCGTGACCCAAGGGAGCGCACAAGMAACTCTTCCATGACGGAAGATCAATACGGTATGACAACTGCAAACCATCTCCACAGGAAAAAGCTAGATCCGAAACAGCATCCGAACGTGACGGCGGGAATGATCCCACGAGCGRTCGCCCACATCTTCGATCTCCTTTACGAGTCTACCTCKAGCGATAGCTCGGTGGAATTTACGATAAGGTGTTCGTACGTTGAGATCTATTTAGACAGAATTACGGATCTTCTRCAGCCGGCACGCSAGGAAAACGCGATCCGGGTGGGCCGGACGAGCTACGGTGGGTCGGAAGACGAAGCCTGCATCGTGGGAGCAACCGAGCTCTGCTGTGTGTGTCCCGAGGACGTTTACGCCGTCCTCGCCAGGGGACAGGCGCTGAGAACAAAGGCGGCAAACGACGCAAGCGTCGATTCGAGCCGATCGCACGCCATCTTTACGCTTCRCCTGGAAAAAACTGACAAGGCCACGGGCRAACTRAGTCGGAGCCGGATGCAAGTCTTTGATTTGGCGGGCAGCCAGGGCACACCRAACCCGAAGGCAGCAGCGACCAGTGATTCGGCAACCGATGCAGAACGGAGCATGGTGAATGCGTCGCTGGCAAGCATACATCGGATTGTCCGGACGACCCTCAAGCACCAAAAACACCAACGGAATATGGGGCAAGTCTCCTATTCCCAACCRTCCGTATCGTTTCCTTTGTCGAAAGTAGCAAAAATCCTACAGCCTTCCATCGGGGGAAATACATATACCACCATGATTTGCACAGGATCACCTTCAAGTTACAGCATCGATGAAACTATACAAACAATATCCTTTGCTCAGATGATGCAAAAAATCTACAACATGCCTCGGGGAGCGTTTCAGGGGTATACTCTCCAAGGRTACCAGATGCAACTCTCCCTGACTCAACAACGCCAGCATCAAATGTCGAAATTCATACGCCTCCTTGCACAAGAATGCAAACACGGAAAGAAAAAATCAAGAGAGCCAAAGAATCAAAAAGTATGGGATGCGGTTTTGCAAATAGTGGAAGCCGACAAAGCGAGAAAGGAGAAGATGGCAAACGCCAGTGGCAACGAGATTGCTGCCGACTACGATGGTTTGTGCATCTCGGTATTCGAAGAAGGGGAGAAGGAAAAAGAAATTCGGGATCTACGTGCTAGATTGGCCAGCGCCGAAAACAAACTCCGACAAGAATGTGCCGCTCGAGAAAAATTCGAGTCGGCCTATAGGGACGCCACGTCTGAGCTGGTTGCTCTAAAAAGCCAACGGGAATCGTTTGGAAAGCACAAGCGCAARCTTGAGGAGAAACTGTTGATGGCTAAAGCGAAAAACRAAGAAATGTCGGCGACCAAGACCGACCTCGAGCACAAACTGAGGACGAGTCAATTCCGAGAGAACGAATCCATACTATTTTTGCGGCAATTTCGGACGTTTTACTTTCGTCTTTTGCGGAATAAAGCAGCTCACGGGAGCGGAAACACGAGGGAAGTAATGGAGGAAGCAAAAAATAAGATTCCTGGAACAGCTCCGGATTTGGAAGATCTTTTGGATGTGGACAAAATGATGGTCAAAAGTGGAATCATCGAGAGCTCGGAAATTGGTGCCGATACGCCAACTTCCGATTACAGCCCTTCGAAAAGTGCGCTTACGAAAAGTTCTCGAGAAGCGAAAGCAGCGGAAGAGCGAGAAATGGCCTTGATCGAGGACGAAATGRCAGAAGAATTTGGTCCATCCAAGGGGTTGACACGTGGCCAGCTTATAGCCTGCCGACAGAAATTGCTATTGTCACCTTCCGGTTTATTAGCAATCGAAAAGGAAAAGGAGGTAGAGAAAACACTTTTGCAACTCTCGGAAAAGTGCATGGGTCTTCAGAATTCTTTAAGCGCAGAAAAATCGATGGTTCAAGCACTTTCGGGTCGGCAAGGAGCAATGACCAAAATGAAGCAAATTCAAGACACCATCATGCTGAAAACAGAACTCGAGCGCAGGACGAACGATCTCCTTGCCATCGTTTGGAAAATGAACGAGCTCCATCTGGTGAACAAAACGCTAAGCTCCAAAGCTGCTACGAGAGAGCAGTATTCTTCGTATTTGTCAGACTATCTATCGGAGATCCAAGCAAAAAACCAACGCCGTGTCGCGCAAGTACAAAGTGAAGGGAGTAGATTGAGAGAAGAGAACTCTGATTTAAGAAACCAACTTGATGCTGTATCTCTTGGCTTGTGGCAACTGGGGGAACAACTCGAAAAAGCACCTCTGTGGCGTTGTTCGGTATCCTTCTCTGGAGAACATCATAATTCCACGGAAGAAATTCCAGATTGTAGACTTTCAAGCGGGAAGTTAACGGAGGAAGAAATCGATGGACTTATTGAAGTTGTTCAATGCAATGAATGAAATATTTAAATCTATTTTTGAACCCTGTTCAGTACTTTACTGAAAACATGATATTTCGTCGTGATTCTACTAACGGTCGCCGAATGGCTGGAGGTATGAATTTTCMGTGATGGCACTGATGTCATCGCCGTGATCTTTCTCTGGCTCCGCTTGCCACGCAGCTGTCCTCGATGGATTGGGGGTGTCACTAGCAAGGTCATCGGCATTTTGATATTGATTATCGCTCGKCAAAATTCCTGATGGTTCTGCATGGTCTTCGATTGCATAYCTCGAACGAGTCAGAGAGAMGCTACTGAGTAACTTTTCTGTTCGGGCCATATTGTTATCGGATATCTGACAAATATCGTTTGCTACTTGTATCGTATTTCCGTCGTCTTTCTGCAGGAGATTACGTAGTAATTGCTCTCTCAGTTTTTCTGCATTTTCGAGTTGTTCTTGCTGCTTCGTACAACGCTCGTGCAGAGTTGTCTGGTCCTTCAACATTTCACGCAAGTTGTCAACAAATTCCTCTTTCTCGTGCTTTTGCTCTTCGACAACCTTCCGTAGACCCATCAGCTCGCGTGTTGCATCCGCTAGAGAACTGCTCAACCCTTGCAACTCGTTTTCTACCTCAGGTGACCTTTTGTCAGCCATCATTTCTCTGGCTAAAATGCTTTCTAATTTTTCTATTTCCTGACGATGACATTCTCTGTTCTTTCGAGCATCTTCTTCCGCCTTCAATTTTGTTGCTTCATTTGTCTCCTCGTAACTTTTTACTAGGGTATCAATTCTTGCTTCGTATGCTTCCTCTAATTTTTTCAATCGAATTTCGAATGCAGCTGTGATTTCGGCTTCTTTTTTCGAAATTTCGGCCTCGTTGTGCTGGCATTTGCTGAAAGTTTCAGCGTACAAACCCATTAGTTTCACCGAAAATCGCATATCTTTTCCGTGATCCAAAGGAAGTCGTTCTCTCTGGTCCTTAATGAGCACGCCACTCGGATATTGRCTCAATAACTTCTCTATGATRGCCTCGTCTGCTTTATGGCGAAATGCGAGGTGTAGGGGCAGTATTCCTTGGTCGTCCCTTTTCGCTGCTGCAATAGGATTCTGGGTCAACAAGTTTTCAATGAGCGACAACGGAGCTTTGAATATTACAGCTGCGTGAAGTGGCAAAAGCTTCCACCTTATACTTCCATTTACATCGCGGCGAACAACCCATGTATGAGTCTCTTCGGGGTGCGTATTACATCTAATGCGCGCGTTTTCCCATTGGGAAGACTCGAGCATCTCGTATAATTGTGTAACAGACCGATCGTAGTCGCACTCCAATTCAAATCCTTTATTCCTCGGCGCCTCGTAGGAAAGACTTGGTTGTTCTCGCTCGCCGCCATTTGCCGTCGAATAATATCGACCTCCAGCACCAAAAGCAGACTCGTTGTTWGTCAGTGGACTCACAGAGCGATTATCGGCTCGCATGTGAACTGGGGAAGGCATACCTCGTCCAGCATTCGGACTCGGTGATTTGATCGTAGTTGTCCCCGCAGCCATTTGAGGGTCATATTGCTGACTAAACATTCGCTTTACCATTCTGATGGTAATACAAACTGGAGCTGCAGAACGAGTAGGGTACTCGTACTTGTACCTTAGGATAAGGGATGATATTTTTCGAGGATCGGGATGATGTTTCGGAGAACTATCACAAACAATTCATGCTTGTACAGGGCTACGGTAAGTACGATCGTACCAGTTGTCGTAACTAAGGTTAAAACTGAGGAGAACAAAGATTAATCTCAAAATTTAAATTAGCGATTTCAAATCGGATCGAGTCCGCGCGGGCCATCTGACACCACGGTTTCAAAACTTGAAGAACACTACGAGCATTAATGTTAATGTAGCGTACAGAGTCGTACAGTACTTTGCAACAGGGTCATAATTCAGATGACCGTACGTACGGTGCAGTTCTTCCGTCCTAAGTGCCAAGTATTCTACAGTACGGTACCGTACTGTAGGGTACGGCACAGCATGCTGATGTAACTTARTAGGTAAGGTACATACGAGTAGGCGTAAAACACGTACTTTCATTCTACTGTAATTGTTACCCGTCTCATACCGTACCTTGTATGAGTACATAAGGTACCATACTAGTATCATTAAGTTGGTGAAAGTACGTACTGTAATACGTACCGTACCGTATGTACCTACTGCAAACAGACAACTCAGAGCGATTCACTACGGAGTTTTCGGAGCTGCAAAACTACGACAGGTTTCGTTCATAAAAATACGATACCCACAATCCATCCAATCCAATCCTCCTTTCGTCGCTGGAGATCTTGCAGTGAGTATCAAAGCATTACTACCAACATTATTTTTTGCCTCACAGAAACTTCACCAAAATCATGCCTGTTGCACTGATGACAGGAAAGTCGAATGGTCATGATGCAACTCAAAACCAATCACTGCGGAATCGAACAATTGAAGTTTCGGATTGGTGGACGTTGCAAACTTCATCGGAATCATCGGTAACACACGTTTTGGACCTGCGTTCCTTCACAGAACAGCGAAGACAATTTCTATGCACCCCTGTGCAAGACAGTTCAATGTCGCTTATTGTTGTGCCCATCCCCGTCTCGGTGGTGGAGAAACGATCCTTCGAACTGCCTGCGCGACACGTCAAGTTTTCCATTCTGGTAGCCGAGTCCGATCTCGTTCGGGCGGAATCCTTCTTGTGCGGATCGAATCGCAAGCGTCCAAACCCCTGGAAGGTCGATCACGTTCTTCTCGATACCGAGGAATTTTGGAGCGAAGCACACGAGTTGGGAATGGTTGGTAAAGAAGATACTGGACAACGGATAGAAAATGAATTAGAAGAAAAAAAATACAAACGCCAACGCCTGGATCAAGACCATGACTCTGCGACACAAAACTCTAGAAAGTTTTCCAAATTTCCGCTTCCTCGACTTTGGCAGCCAGATCCGATGGTGGAAACTGTTTTACTTCCTCTGTTAGTAAAGGCACACGACAACAATCGGCGGTCTATTTCAAGCCAAGAAGAATTGGAAGTATGGGACTTAGCTGCAGGGGCTGGACGGGACGTAGCCTTTCTCGGAGAAGAACTATTCGCCGTCGATAGAACTCATCAAATAGTTGCTGTAGATCATAGGTATAATGACAAAGAAACAAAGATTGTGAACGACTTTTGGGATCGCAGGGAGATAGGAAGTCAAACTACCAGTCTCAAGTTGAATCTTTCKCACTGGAAGACTTTGGAAGAAGCAATGGCATCTAGTTTGACCCAGAAGAAGGTTTCTGCAATGTTTTGCGTTCGGTTTTGGAAACCAGATCTAGTGAAAGCCATTGCAGAAAGCGGGTCAATATCTTCTGGCGTCTTGTTTGCATTATCGCATTTCTGCAAGCCATCGCTGGGTGCATCTTGGAACTTCGATCATCCCAGCGAGAAGACGGTCCTAGAACGAAATGAACTCAACGACATTTTTCATACAGGGTGGGATATTCTTCATGATGAAATTGCAATTGACTCCGATCATGGACGGACGATGATTCATTTTGTAGCTAGACGGAGATAACTTACTTAGCTAAACACCTGATGGTACTTCTACTCTGCGCACATTAAGAGATGTTTTTTTACTTTTGAGTTACATACTGTACACGATAGAACCATAGGGTAAGGTCTGACTGATCGACCAAAAAGCACAGCCAACAGAGAATTACCAAATCATTGTAATATTAGTAGTGCTGACTTACAACATATGGAAGCAATGAGATGCCCATCTTGATACAGGGTACGAGTTTCGGTCCAAAATAATACCAGACAGATTAATTTCTGGTAGGAAATCTACACAGCACCACACTAATAATGATGGTACTATTTTACAAAACAATGGGCAACCTGTCTCYATGTTCCATGTAGAACCCAAAAGACACTGTTTTACATTGATATATTCTCACTTCCAAGCCTTTTTTGCTCACTTTTTGAGAATTTGAATCGGCAAAACAAAATTGATATCCTGACAATGCAAATAAGGTGGAATAAAATCAAAATCAAAATTGATTCCAATAAAGGATTTCTCTGCAATTACTAAACCTTACTAAATACTGGGCCATATGGCCCTAACTACTGAGCCTCTCCTATTAGACCTCTTCAACCACTTTCTAAATCTCATTAACTGGACCAACCAATGGACCAACCAATCCCTTCACTCCCTCAAGCACTTCAACATGCATATTGCAATCAGCTCTCTCTTCTTCAGTCATGCTTGCAATGTTGTTTAGGGATTCTTTTTGGAGCCTTGCTCTCTCCTTTCCATATGCTGTTTCTTTAATGGTAATTTCATCGTCCTTCAGTTTTTGCAGCTGGGTCTCACCTTAGTCACTCCAAGCAAATGCAAAAGGGAAAGAAAYATCCTTCACATACATCCACATATCCAAGAGCTTTTCTTTCTTTGCATGTGGGATCTTCTTTTGCTGCTTTCACTGACACGACAGTACCTTCAGTGTAGAAACTGGAAGGGACTTAGCATCCTCCCCCTTCTTCACATCTTTTCCCTTCAAAACAAACTCTTTAATCAAACCCAGAGCTTTGCTGCTATTCAAAGCTTCTGCTGAACTTGAAGCATTCTTCACTGATTCAAAGTGTTCAACCTCATCCAACCTCCTGATTCTTCGCTTGGCAATCATTAAGTAGTCATTTGTGATGAGTGTGTCTCCACCCGTTCTAATAAAGTGTTGGCTCAAATATTTGACCCMTATGGTGACATCTTGTCAAGCTCTGGTGTTCATTTTGTTGGTCACTGTCTCCACTAACTTCTTAGCATTCTTCCTTGGTGGCGCATATCTGTTGTGCAATCTTTCACATGAAATCCTGCAACTTAAAAGTGTTTTAGAGGGCAAATCACATCAATGGGGTGAATGATAGTTCAAAGGAAGATTCACCTCCCAACTCAATGATCCATCTGAACTCACAGAATACATATTGAAACTGCRACACCAAATCAAATTCTGCATGCTGTTGTCATTGTGAATCTATTCCTATCAAGTCTTGTGATAGATCCCACCATGTAGCATTCCCAACAACACTCAAAGTGATCAATAATGTTAAGCATACACTTTGAAAATTGCTTGTTGATCACTTCTTCATGTGTTGAAACTGATCTTGTATGGTGTATTGCTGGTGTTTGCCTGTTACTAGGAATGGTGCGCCTCCCCCATGTTCTGTTTGGCTGGCAGTGAGGATTTTTTGTTGCATTTTCACCAGATTCGTCTTGTTGTKGTGGTGGTGTGTTGTTGGTGAGTTTTGTGCTGTGGTGATGATGGTGATGTGTTGGAGTKGTGAATCTTTTGTCTCTCACATCATTCTACTACTGTGGCAGTCTTTCACCACAATACTTTCAAGAATGAGGCCAAGGCTTCTTGAGGTGCAAGGCTAGTACTATTGTACGAGATTGCTTTTTTTGTCTGGTTAGCGTTTCCGTCTGTTTGTCGTTTCCAATACTCAAAAAGACAAATTCCGAAAATGCACGAACTGGTAGTACTCGCACGACTCGAACGTCTCCACCCGAACACTTCTGTCGAAAGTTATCGAGCAATGATTCAATCTTTAAGTCATTTATGTTGTCATTATACTGTATATGATATTTCCAAGAGACGAGATAGAATCGACATTCAATCTCATCCACAACAGTCACTTGTCGAAACTTAATTTTCGAGCTATTCAATCCAAAATGTCTCCTACTCCTAAGAGATTCGTTACCGTAAACGGTGTCAACCAACTCAATCCAGAGTATATCGCTTGGAAAAAGAACGGAGGGAMAAAAACTCSTCCASAACCGAATGAAGCTCCCATATCCAAAATGGTTCTCCAYATCGAAGTTCTTCAGGGAAGCGACCTAGTGGCAAAAGATCGCAATTTGTTTGGAAAAAAAACTACATCTGATCCATATGTGAAAGTACAGTTATTATGCCATCCGGAACCTAGCACGCGCAWGAAACCGCAAACACTGACACTAGGAAGAACACCAACGGTAAAGAAGAATCTGTCTCCGGTATGGAATCATAGTGTGAGGCCTGCAATTCCATACAATAGAAGGAGCGAAAGCCTTCGTCTTGCCTTTCAAATTTTTGACGAAGACGTACTTTCATCCGACGATTCAATGGGTGTTGTGACACTTCCCCCCCTCGAATGGAAAAATTCGACTGGTGCCCCAACATGGTACGAGATTCCGAAAGGTTCTGCCAAATCTGTGTCCGGGAAGATTCAAATTAGGATTCAAACGCACCTGCATCGCGTGCAAGGACTCAAACCCTACTGTTGAGTATGTTTGCGGTGTCATGGTTCCCGACCTTCTGACTAATTTGATTGTACGGTATCATGTCGATTTGTTGAATCTGAAGTCATGCAAGATCGAAAGCAAAGATGAAACAGTTTAATACATAACGTGTGGGCAACTGAATCATAGGTGCGATACCATTCTTGTCGCCGATACTCGACAAGGAATGATTAACTATCGAGAATATTGTAACACTGAAGTACGTGTCTTGATTGGAATCCTGAAAATTCGGCAGTCCTATGATCGTGCTACAAGGGACCTTTTATTTTGTCAATTTAATGGCGTAATAGTTTAAGAGCGGTGATGAAGTAAATTTGGGTGATGTTGAACCGAAAGAGATTGCAGACAAAGCGAAGATAATGCTATCCAACTTAAATATGTTACTTTAAATCACTGCACAGAGTTATTTGTTCTTAGTCCTAAAGTTGCGCTCAAAGCGTAAAGTGTTATTCCGTCGTTACCGAGTAGAGCTGCTATCTTTTCCGAGCCCAGGAATTCTGGATTTGCCGCTGCTCCCAGTRGACAATACTTCCCGGTTTCCTCTCGCCCCTCCCTGAGTATTGATTATTGACCGTTTTGGTTTTATGCCTTTCTTCACCAAATCCCTTACTTCGTCACCAGTCAGTGTCTCATACTCGAGCAAAGTCTTCGCCAATAAATGATGTTGTTTTTGATATTTTATYAACAGTTCCTTGGCACGTTTGTAAGAAGAGTCGGTCAACCTTTTCACCTCGGTATCGATCTTKTTCCGTGTTTCCTCTGACGCGTGTTCTTGTCCAGTTGACCCGCCGTATCTAACCAAACCAATTTCTTCACTAAACCCAAACTTAGTCACCATATTTCGGGCAACATTCGTCGCATTAGCGATATCGCTCGATGCTCCYGAYGTGATCTCTTCCTTCCCAAATATGAGTTCCTCAGCAACTCTACCTCCCATAGCGACATCCATGTTCGCTTTCATTTCCTTTWGCGATTGTGATGTTTGGTCTCCTTCTGGTAACATKGTAACCATTCCTAATGATTGGCCACGAGGCATAATTGTGGCCTTGTGAACTAAAATTTGAAAGCGAAAAGGAATGTCAGAAGCAGATTCGATCGATCCACCGTTCACTGAAAACGAGATGAAATTAAGGTAAAACATAAGATCAACTTACTTGGCATGGCTCCATCTGTCATCACTGCAACAAGCGCGTGTCCCGCCTCGTGGTATGCTGTGCACTTCGCAGTTTCCTCAGTAATTACTGCTGTCTTTCGCTCTGCACCCATCAGAATTTTGTCCTTTGCATATTCCAACACCGACATGGTTATGCTAGCCAAACCATCCACGGAAGCCTTCAAGGCTGCTTGGTTCATGAGATTGTACAATTCGGCACCGCTGAATCCTGTTGTTCCTCTCGCTAAAATATTCAAATCAACATCAGGCGAAAGTTTTGTTTTCTTGGCGTACATTTCTAAAATTTCTTTTCGCCCACCAACATCAGGRAGGGACACAGTTATGTGTTTGTCAAAACGTCCTGGTCGTAAAAGCGCTTGATCAAGTGATTCCATGAAGTTTGTGGCCCCGATTACAATGATTCCATTGTTATCCTCGAAGCCATCCATCTGCACCAAAAGCTCGTTTAGAGTCATTTTCAGCGCCGACTGATCTTTCAGTTTCCTCGATCCACCTACAGCATCAATCTCGTCAATGAATATTATACATGGAGACTTTTTCTTGGCGGCCTCGAAAAGTTCCCGGACACGTTTTGCTCCAAGTCCTACATATACCTCTTCAAATTGACTACCGCTGCTGAAAAAGAAAGGCACACCGGCTTCACCAGCAATTGCCTTCGCAAGGAGGGTCTTACCAGTTCCGGGTGGTCCCGTCAAAAGCAGTCCACGAGGAAGTTTTCCTCCCAACCGTGTAAATTTTGTCGGATTTTCCAAATACATMACGATTTCTTTCAACTCGGCCAGCGCTTCGTCTACTCCCTTAACATCGTCGAAACTCACGTCTGAAGTATCCTGCGCCTGCTGAATATGCTTGGTGCCTGAGTTCATTCCCAGACCCCGTCCAACGCCTTTCTCATCGAGAAGAGCAGAAATGGCACTGACGACTACAAAGGCAATTAGTACCCGTCCCGTCAAAGAAATTAGGGCAGATCGTGCGGATGTTGGATTGTGTAATTGAACAAAAAGAGGATTCTTCGGATCCAATCCTCGCCCAGATGCGGCTGCCCCCGCACCTCCTGAGAGCCCACCCGGGCCGCCCAACATGCCTCCAACCCTTGACGAGCCTGCCATAATGGCACCGCCACCGCTCGCAAGTAGATTCATCATAGCATTCACTTGTTCTTGCTTGGTCAATTGCCTATTCTGGTTAATGATTTCTTGGATGTTATCGTCGTTCAATATACTGGGATCACGTTCCTGCAGTCGCGACAGAAGATCATCCATGTTGAACTGGTTGTACTTTCCTGTTTGCATCAGAGCTTGCAGGTACAAGGTAGCGATTCGAGAGTCAACAGCAAAGTTTCGAAACATCTTGTTGCTAACACGATCCACAACGGCTTGGGGATGATTGTTGTGAAGGAGTCGATTCAAAAACTCGAATTGTGCGTTTGCATCGGCCGGTCTAGAGTTTGCGGTTGCCTCCAGACTCTTCAATTGGACAGTTTCCACCTTGTCGTTAAGAACGTTGGCAACATTGAAAAAGGTGCGATATTGTTGCATTTGATGGTGAAAAGGACCATGACTCGCTGTATTATTATTAATACTGATGAAATTGTTCTCGAATAATCGGCGGGAATAGTCGCCATTGGCTGCAGTCTTCAAATGAGAGGATCTGCGGGTAGCGGAGACATTGAGTGATGATAATAGTCGTTTTTCGTGCAATTCTCGCAATTTTGGGTAATCCTGTTGCAGAAGGTAGAAGTTCGCATTATGAGCAAGAAAGAAAACGGACACAACATGGTCAACAGAACATACTCGTCTTGACGACTAAACATCAGCGTTAGAAAATGTATTTTCTCTGACGTACGCGGTAGCTTCGATTCCCAACATGCATTCGATATTGGCTCATTCTAAGAAGAAATGCCTATCAACAATGCGTGAGCTTGGATCCGAGATGTTGGGACTGGTAAACACGAATATCCCGTTTCTGCGAAATCAAATACGACCGATGAAATCAACTTTCGAGCCGCCCGTTCAGAGTTACTTAGGGTGGCGGCAGGTCGAATCCGTTTGTCTTCTTCGTTGGGTCGTCAGCAGTAAGTCCTCAGCATCGGTTGCAGAAGATTTACTTTCGCGGGTTGTTTATTTAGTACCAACAGTCTGTTTTGGACCTAATGGTGAAGCTCGGACTTGTCACTCGTGTGAAACATGAAGGGGTTTAGCCACCTGATTCATTCTTCCATGCTTTTCTTTCTCAGTCTCCTTTACCGTATTTTTTATTTTTTGGCCGTACCTGGTAATGGTTTGGAACTCGCACCAGAAACATACGGTACTAGTAGTATGTTATTACGTACGAACGTTTCAGAACAAAAAATACWGTACTACAGAATTGTCAGAGTTGAAAATGGGGGTGAAGGAAAAATCTACTTTCGGGGGTCGAATTACAAATGAAATTGGCTCGCTAAACAAAAAACTTATTACGGTGCAAAAACTAAAGTAAGTTATTGCTAGAATGACTTGTCACAATAATGACTGAATGTTTAAGTTAAAAATAAATAAATAATCTATTTTTGGTCAAGGTASTAATTTCTTTGCAAAAAATGGTATACCAGGGTTTACACAAATATACACTAAAAAAAAGTTTATTTTTGTTTCCTYGGTAAGTCCAGGGTTGTAGTAGTACTAAGAACACTAAAGATAGTACTAGTGAAGTCCAGTGCACCGTAGCCAATTTAAAATTTGTTTCAAAAATGTCAACTGACTAAGTSGTGGTGGTAGTTGATCGTTTGACCRCTTTGCTCTCAAAATGAGACAGTTTACCGCTAGTAGAAATGGTAGTAGGAGTACAACTAGTAGTACTAATGCTAWTAGTAGTAGTACTATTTGTACAAAAACAATTTTTGCATGCAGCAGCTACAACAACGCTTCATGGAGCAACTTTCCATAGAACCTGGAGCCATTTAGTATCAGCAAGCATTATTTAACTCACAAGATTTGCAGAAGACTGCTAGAATCATGATACTACTAGTACTACTAGTACTAGGACAACAACGACTAGTACTACTAGTATTRYTASTMRTMRTAGTAGTAGTAGTAGTACTAGTACTACTAGTACTACAAACATGTCACATACTACTACTAGTGTGTAGTAGTAGTAGTGCTGCTGCTGAACAAGAAGAAGATGCTGCATGCTGGTGATGTATGAGATCTACTATTGTCCTGTACAATCATTTTTGCTCCTCTGATGTGCTTCAGAAACTCAGTAGTAGTAGCCATTTCTTGGATCTTCTCAACAAGAAGAACAAGACAACATGATGGCAAATTTGCTCTATCAAAATTGGCGGGATTAATGTACCCTTTTTTGAAGCTGGGATTAATTTAAGAACATAATACTCCTCCTCCCCATTTTCAACAGAGGAGACATTGGGATTAGAKGAGTTATTCTTGGAGAAATGTAGCRGTTGTTGCTATGATTGTAGTACTGCTTGTAGTTTTACAATATTTTTTCTCTGCTGAGATTGAAGACTACTAKGGGCCACTTCTTGTAGATAGAGTTGTGCTTGTGTAGTACAAAAATGATAAACAATTATGTGTTCTTTTGTATGRATCTCAAACTCCAGCAGGAATTATTGTTGGTCRGGGCTGTTTCGCTGTTTTTCAACTTCTTGTTGAATGTTAGGAGCAACTTTTGCATTGATGGGGATCTGACAAGCAGACCATGCATTTGAATTTGTAAAACTTGGTATCTTTTGCTCTTCTTGCTCAGTCAATTACTGCTGCGATGCAGYGCTAATTATTTATCATCAATTCARAGAGTATTTTATATTGTGGTTTGAATAGACAGAGAAGTTTGTGGGAATACATAGTGTCATCACCTGATGGTCCTAGGAATGTGTCACAAAAACCAAATYAGGCATAMTGCGCATTTTGCACAGTCGCCACCCTCAAATATTTGAAGCCTATTGTTAGATGCTTAATGAAGAATTAATATGTCAAACTACTATTTTTCTCTGTTCTGAGAACATGTGTCTYGATTTGGCACTCATTAAACCTTGAACTCATCCAACTTTACAGTGCATGCATGAAAAATACTAACTACCCCAATTAAAAACACTCCAGTTTTYRTCATTGCCATCCCCTTAGAAYRRTGTTCCTWCCAAAGTCACTTACCCTCTATCCATCCTTTGTAAGCAAATATGGCTCCATCTAAGCWGAAGATKTTCTTCTGTCAAAATTGTCAAATGTCCAGAGCTAGGAGGAGTAACCAACGTCTGGAATTCTATGGTGCAAAATGGAAACAAAAGAASAGGAGCCATCACTTCTACAAAACTTCWAACTCATCTCAGCAWTASTWGTWSTATTTGTTTTGAATTGTGRTGACAGAGTTGACAATTTCAGTTGGGGTTGGGGTTGGGGTTGATACATCTGTGGAAGAAGTTGACTGCAGCCTGATTGATTCTGCAATGAATGCTRTCAATGTGGACCTTGATGATGATGGGTGCAACTTTCATAGTGTCAACATCATTCTTGTCATTGCCTAGTATGCCAACACAATCACAACACCCTTTGAGAAAAAGTTTGTATCTGCAATGGATACGTACGTACTGTATCGGAAGTATACATATGTACAGTATTGGAAGCATACATACGCATGATGCTGAATCGGTATGGTTGGACATACCATTCCTACCTATATATCATAAGGTAATATTCATATATATATATATATAATACGATCCATCATACCAAGACGTCTAAGAATACGAGGTATGATTGAGATGACGTTGCAAAGAATAAAGATGTCACAAGTCCGGAATAGTAAGAACTCCATGTATATTCAGTAACAGAATCTACATAGGAAGCTAATCGGAACTCTGGAAATCTAGTGCACTTGCATGATAATCTTTAATCTTATAATTTCATTATTCATGCACACTTAAGCAGTACAYGTAATCKCGTGCAGTATCTGTCCTAAGAACAAAGGTGAAAGTAAAGCTAATGAATRTTATGAGAGACCACAACATTCCATTACTAGTAGTTGCTGAAAGTGAGCTGTAAGAATCGGCTATTGAAGCAGAGAGTTTGCCTGGTTTCACTTGGACCACTGGAAGCAGTCTTATACTAACCCAACAAAAGATTTGGATGAATGTTATGAAATGGCTCCTGAACAATTTGGTGAAGGTTTTGAGGTACAACTTATTGRCTGGAGCTCTGGTAATGATGTCAGTTGCAAACAAATCTRCATTAGGTCCTTTTGAAATGCATTACAATCTCTTTTGAYCAAAGTGTCTTTAATGAAAGGAAGAGAATATATCTTACTGTAACAAAAAAAACGTCTCTCCTTGCTCTGACCCTGAACTGACAGAAAATAACCTTATTTGCAAACTCCATCTTGGGGAATGGTGGGTAGAGACAYGGAAGAAGAAGTGTGACCCAAATAAGAATAAATAACAAGGTGGTGTTAGTCTCAAGTATTTTTAATRTGGATAGGGCTGCAATTGACAGGGACAGAAGTACAACCCCATGTCCTCTAAATTTGACTCATATGCATTCCACCTCATTAGTTGCTGAAAGGGAGATTTACRAATGTGCTATTGAAGCAGAGAGTTTGTCAGGTTTTACTTGGATTGCCAGAAGCAGTCTTAGGTTTTGGAGGAATGTTATGAAATGGCTCCTGGACAATTTGGTGAAGGTTTTGAAGCGCAACTTATTGACTGGCACTCCACCAGCAACAACATTGGTCACAAACAAATCTAYATTAGGTCCTTTTGATGTGGATTACATTCTCTTCTGACCAATGTGTCTTTAATCAAGGAGGATAATATGTTGTTCACCCCAAACTGACAGAAGAAACCCTCATTTTCAAACCCCATCACAGAGAATGGTGGGGGAAACATGGAAGGAGAAGTGTGGCCCAAATAATGAGATGCTAGTTCCAATTATTTTTAACATGGATGGTGTTGCAATTGACAGCTATGGAAGCACAACMCTGTGTCCTCTAAACATGAGGACTCTTTGGATATTCAATGATCCCATGCCTTTCACCAGACCTGACCCATGGGAGGCAACATATTTTCACCCCCAAGGAAGAAGCAATCATTCAACATCAATAGCCTCTATGATGGTTTACAAGCCACCTTAACCTAGTTCAGAGAAGCATGTGAGTCCCCCCATGATATWTGGTGGCACAATTATCCATGGAATGRCAAGCTTTATGATGTGAAAGATGAAATTTTAAGGAAACTTTTTCATTGACAATGCCAAGCAGCACAACAARCTCTGCAGCCATTATACTTCTGSAAATACAAAAATGATATGCGGGCACTGCAACTGTCCCCGTCTCCCTGAAGTCAACAAAAGGTTAATGTGTTGAATGCCTTGCTGTCACTGAAACAGATTGTAACATCAAAACATCTGACAACAATACTGACATTGATCTTGAAGAACGCCCAACAAACAAGAAGAGGCAAAGAATACCCAAAGAAAATTGCAGCATAGATTCCTCTCCTCTAAGGCTGTCGTGTCCATTGGATTTCACCAAGTCAATGGTTCCTGCAGGCATATCCCTGRAACAACATTGTTGAAACCACTCCCACCATCACATTCAGCAATGCAGAAATGCCTTTCATGACCTTGACTTTGGAGTTCATTTGCACAGTATCCACCTTGCTTCCCCTGGTGAAAGCATTCATATGTACCACCAGCTACTAAGCTGTGCTAAAAGATTGGCAGAAACCTTCTGTGATGTTTTTCTAGGCAGCTCAAAGAAGCTCCTGGACAGTATGGATTTGATAGCCAGTCATTRTGGTGGCAAATCTCTACAGAGGCAGTCAGACCATGACTTTCCCTGAACCAACTTCTCCAAGTCTATACACAATGCAAAGAAGGAGGACAACCACTTTAGTGACATGATCCTSTTGCAAATCCTCTGTTTATTGTCAAAGGAAGGTTGCAAGCTGTTGAAGTCCTGGCACAACAAAGACAAGATCCTAGAGCTTGTATTGGGTATGGAAGAGTTCCTCAAATGGTCTGGTACCCCAAAGGMAGTCTTTGATAGGGAGGAATCAATAAGGAACAAGAAAGATGAAGCCCACAAAGATGCTGCCCACAAAAAGTTGGAAGAAGCTCTCAGATACCCAAAAGGAATAATTGGACRAGCTACAAATCTCAACAAGATGGTCATTTGCTTTATCAACAACATTGTTGGTGACAAATACCTGAACAGGAAAGATAGTATGGGAAATAATCTTAGTACAAAGAATTACATGTTTTTCCATCTCTTGCAATATTTGCAGCTATTTGGCCCTCCTTCTGGATGGGACACCTCTAGGAGCGAGATTGATCACAAGACAGAAGTGAAACCCCCTGCAAAGAAGAGAGCATCTTAAATCTCTTGGTTACTGATCAAACAAACTGCTGAGCAGCACATTGAATCCTGCATAACAGACTGACTCCACTGTGAGTTTGACGTGTACAATCAACTGTTCTCTCTTTTCCATTRGCAAAAGTGATGTTCCTGGTTTACCATACATGAGATGGGACACCAAGGACAATCAAGAGAGGAATCCACCTTCTTGCCTACCAACACAGGTCATCAATTTTTTGTTCCAAKCATGTGCTCAAAGCTGTCTCCACTAAGGAAGTGAAAGGATTCAAAGAGCACAGGCGAATGGACTCCACAATGGACCAAAAAAATTATTCTATGCCTAACCCTCCTTCAAAKCAGACACTGGGCAAGAATGCAATGTTTCTTTACAGTGTATTACAGTGTAAGGAACAATAATATAGAGGAAATGACTAGAAATTCTGGTGGGAAGTWCCACCAGCAGAAACAAAATACTCCACTACTTTTTGAGCTACTACTAGTACACCTACTACTAGAAGACTCAAAAAGACCACTACTGTAGCATCATGAGAAGCAAGCTACACTGCAGYAGCTATGACATACACTAAACTTTTCTCATGGTCTGTAGTGGAAAGCTAGGTCAGATACTACCAAGGTATACTATATGTGCAGTATTACCATCTTATTAGTAATATGGTGGAACAAATACTTMGTAGAAGTACGAGCTGGTGCTTGTTGGCTTGCTATTCTAATAGAGTGGAGGTCAGCTTTTGGCTTGCATGACATTCGTACTAAGAAGAATTCAACAGACCTTTTCAAGATTTGGTTCATCACACATACTCAAACTATTATCATGACTACTGTAGTATTTGAAACGACTTGCTCTTGCTGAATGAGTAGTCTGACTCATTATGATTCAATTTCAAATAGCTTCGATTTTGATATCCTCTTCATAATCTGTATCGACACCCCCTTGACATTCGCTATTATTCCCAGCAGCGATTTCGTTTTTAGTAGCATCGCCTGTTTTTTTGTCGCTCTCTTTCTCCTCATTACTGCTGTTATCTTCAYTGGGTCTTGTGGTACCAGGAAGAAGACTCCATGAAAATCCTATTGCTTCCAATCGACAAAWTCTTTTTTCCAACTCAACCCGATCCATCCGAGGATGCTTCGGTGATTCACCACTCGCATATTTTTTGTAATTAGATCGTTGAGTGCTTACCCAACGACCAAGTGCTCTGTTCGTTTTGTTTTTGGTGGGTACATTGCCTGACGTGGAAGACAGCAAAGAAATGTAATACAATTATGAGCTTGAGGTTGATCAATGACACACGTTCGAAGTTGGTCTGACGCAATACAAAAGTTSCATTTCTACATTCTCSCCCTTACAGTGTCCATGTATTTGCGAGTACTGCTGGAGTTCACGAAATTTTTCTTCCCAGGCTGCCTGACCTTTTCGTTTTGCCCATACAAATCCTACGTCTTCCAGGAGTTGAATCTTTTCATCTGTTAAACTAGAAGGATCCCCGGCATCTTTGGCCTTTTTCTCCATTCTTTGCTTGTTCACCCATATACCCAATGAGTGATTCTCAGCATACTGTTGAGGAACATTGGCTATTTGATATTTGACGTGCAAACCAGAAGGTAGAACGGTTGAGACAAAATGCACACTTATATAGTAGGTGTAGGTATCGACAGAACGAACTTACTATGTCCATTAGCATCTTTAAACTCGATCAGTTCTTTGAGCCGCTTGAACCAAGTTTGAAGGGCTTCAAATTTGCGTGGAGTGTGTGCTTCTTTTAGTTGTTTAGGTGTTGGTTGAATTCGACGTCGACGCGATGATGATGATATTGAAGAAGTAGCATATTTATTACAATCTGGTTTTGYCATCTTATTTCTGGCTTGTGCACTTGGTCGYTTAAATTTCGTTGACTGAGATTTCTTCACAATGCTCTCCTTCGTCGTAGCTTCCTTCGTGCGATTTGTGCTTCTTGTTGGATATCGGTTTCCTCGCCTCGAAAAAGACACATCATCTGGAGATTTTGGTTTGTTTGCACTAGATTCTCTTCCTTCAGAAAAGGAAGTAGTAGCAGGAGGATTCTTACGATCGAATGAGGGCACATTTTTTGCAGCTTGGGTGGGGTAATTGGATGGTTGGTTATGAAAATGCTTCTGATGCTGTTGTAGCTGTGCAAAAAGCGTTGAATCGATAGCGGGAGGTTTTGTATCCATATTTTCTTCGTGACACTGAGAAGCACACCGACCGTGAGCGTGTACGCTGAAAAGAAAGTGCCGTTCGTAGTAATTGGGAATCTTCGCACTCACCGTGCCGTCTCCTTCGTTTTCTTGTCGGTGAGCATTCCGAGAATATTCCAATGGTTCATGAGTTTCTTCAAAGCCTCGGGTCAGAGGGAAATCAGTTGTGGGCTCATGAACATCAAAGAGTGGATTCAGTTCTAGGTCTTCTGTCAAAGTGTCATAGTTGTCATCTATTTCGAGACCCCCATTATCGTGCATAATTGAACCGGCTCCAATTCTCTGTATTTCGCCTAGAGGATCGTGACGGGTAGTACTGTGACGAACTGATTCCACACACCCCATGTTTCTAGCTGCGTTGCTACTGATTCCAAAGGCGTTTTGTCCAATGTCTATAGATTCAGAGGTTCCGTAATGATATTGTGGGTCACCGCCGACGTATGCGTGAAACGGATAGTGCTGTTGATTTGYCATTTCCAATGAGTTGAATCTATCTAATCTTTGCTCCAAAACGCCAGATTGGAGAGCAGTCTCTTCGTTRGGTCCATCTGAATCCGTGTTACCAGGGGGACTCATAATGCTGTAGTTGATTGTGATTGATGCCATGAGTGTTGGTATTCGGATAGCACCGTCGAGTAAAGTATTGCTGTGAAAAGGAACTCTTTATTGTCTCAAGGAAAGTCTGATTTTTCTCATTTGTGAACGCTGCGATTTGTTCAGCGTTGCACTCAAATTTTKGTTTACTCAAAAATTGTATTATGTGTGAATGAATTGAACGGAAAACAAAATTGCGTTAGAGTGATGATCTTTATCGCTCGTTCCATCATAAAATGCACGCAAACCCTGACTTTTGACGCAGATCACCATAGTTTCCCACATCAAATTCAAATTTCTGTCTCTAGGTGTCCGGTCATACTCGTTGTTGACAATGAAAAGTAGACTGCACTCTCTGTCCACGGTACATGTTGACAACACGTTTAAGTTCCCGTCGGTTTTCATGTGCATCGAAGAAACTGGTTTGAGTTGTTTCAAGAAAAGGAAAGAATTGTCATGGATATTTCTGGCCCAACGCTATTTGAACTGACTTAGTATGAGGAATCAGGGTCTGGAGCGAACCTACCGTACCTATTCGAATGGTCGGCTAGTTTTCCATCGTGTCGAACCTTCACACGAAAACCTATTTGACTGGGTTTTTTTTTCGTATCTGCAATCTGCAATGATTTTTCATAGACTACCAACGTACGTACGTACTCGTATTACCAGATAATTACCAGATAAACTCCTAAGCGTTACGTCCTCGCACTTTCTCAAATCCAAGATTACGCAGCTACGAAAATGCAAATTTAGTCCCTTACGTGTTAAATGGAAGCAACAAACTGCACAATCTACAATGCAAATTTAATTGTGGTGAACAGTACGAGTACTCTTACTGGTACCCGGTATGATGCGGTAGATTTTTKATTTTGACATACAGGTTCGTACGGTACCGTAGGCAGGACCGTACGTAGGTACGTAAAGTGCATGAAGGGTGACTACTAACTACTGTACCGTGCATTTCCGTAGCACTTGTGATTGACCCACTGGTTCCCGGTTCCCGGCTCCTATTCCTAACATGTTCTTAGGAATCTTAGTACATGAACATAGGAAGAGACATTTTTTCTTTTTAGAATCCGAAATCCAGTGCTTCCGGACGTACAGCACTTTACTCGTACTCGTATTGGCTGTGCCAGTGCGAGTACGAGTCTCCTTCACAGTCCAGTACTTACTACGCGGTAAAGTACTCGTACGCACAATCCGGATAGGCACGATACGATACTCCGAACGATTTTGATTCTTGTGACAACTTCAATGGCCTCGAGCTTGATGACGAATGGACTGATGGTGATTGCAGGTATCATTTTTTGCTTCTTCAGAAATCTAGATTTCTGTTCCGCCCTACCTTTACTTCTACCTACCAACCAGTACGAGTACATACCGAACCGTAAATTGTACTCTAATACCGCACGTMCCAGGTAACCGCAATGCAATTAGCAATTGTTCTTTGGTAGAGTTTCTGGTTCCATCAGTGATCAGTACCAGAATACTACGCGATTGAGACAGACTTTTCTCCGTTCTCAGCTGTTTGCATGCACATCAAAAATTAAGAAAGGTTGTCATTCACAAATCCACAAAGTAGGAATTCCCTTCAGAAGTTCCATTTTACCTAAGATCTTACATAAAAAGCAAAACTTAAAGCAAAAAGAACAAAGATGGCTTGGAGGAGCAGTGGTACTACGAACGACGAGATGGTGGACAATCTGAAGCGTAAGTTGTGGTTCTGAACTTTCTTCTTCTCCAATTATTCGAATCGAATCGATTCGGGTTAGTTTCCATTCTTTGCAATATTAAACAACATGATATTTTGATAAATGCAACCCATCGTTCTTTGAAGTCTGTGTGCAGCTGCGATGGATTACTTCACAAGTAGAWAAATATCTCTGTGCTATGTTCTTTCKTACGTTCTTGCTCCAAGYGCTACGAGGGAAGAAAACACCTTTAACCACAGGAATACTCTCGCTRCCCGTTTGGATGCACTTTCTCTGATGAGAAGAGATCCATAACTTCGTTGAATGTTCTCACCTTGCGCCGCAATACCTGTATTCTTTAGGTTTTCGCGTAATCACATCTCCGCAAGTCGAAGCAGGATTTCGAAATGTTGAACGGAGACTTTTCGTTCCTAAGGTAAATTGTCAAACACCAAATAGTTTGTTTRTGGCCTATCGCAATAGAATCAGCTACTTTTCTAATCCGCTGATATTCTCTTCCTCATGCATCTATCTCTTTTTTCAATCACGTCCAAAGAATARTAGAGATATTGCTCACAAGGATCAGCCCATCAGGGATGGAAACATACATATATCCGCCCCACATATTTATGGAAGCGTCTTGGAAGCGTTGGAACTCAAGAAGGACGCCGGGCTTAGCGTTTTAAACGCCGGATCTGGAACAGGCTACTTCACCTGCATTACAGCTTCAATTCTAGGTTTACAATCAATCCATTACTGCGTAGAAATCCATGAAGATGTCATMAGTCACTCGAGAGAAGCAATCGCTGCTTGGAGGGATACACAGTCTGCAAACCAAGAGCTCTCGAATATTGATATCATCCATGGAAATGCGCTTGAATTGGATATCAATAGGGGAGAATGTGCCTTGGGATTTGATCGAATTTATATCGGTGCTGCAATCGAAAAGGAAAACGTGCATATGTTCAAGAGGATGCTGAAGCCAGGTGGGATTTTAGTAGGTCCAGGTAAGTTACGAATGAGGCTGATTTTTTAATCGAAAATTTCATAACTGGTTCCTAATGTCTCCTTTTCACCACAGTTGGGGATGAACTTGTCAAAATAATTCGAAGCCTCTGTGACAGCTCTGAGGGAAGTCAGCAGTTTACTACCAAAGTTATATCGGGTGTTCGATTTGCCCCGCTTCTTAATGGTCCATCCATGCACACTATAATTCCAGCGCGTATATGGAATCCCTCTACTCATACTTTGTACCCTGATACATTTCGTGGCGCCTGCAATCAATTGCTTCTTTGCTCGAACGCAAGTAGAATTCAGCCCGTCAAGATTTGCCCGCCCCGCAAAGTGAATGCAGCATCGATGTTACCAAAAGCATTGTGGGCAGAAATTTTGTCTTTTACGCATCGTAATTGTAAGATTAGCATTGMTGTTTTTTCGTGCATTTGTGTTTGTTTATTTCATTTCATTTCATTGTTTTTCTGAAATTTCTGATTATCCCTCTTTTTTCTTTTGTAAGGGTTTGACGTTCCCACTAATGAGGTCGACTTTTTGCATCAACGCTTACAAGAAGAACAGGCTAATGTTGAAAGAGCTAATGAAGCTAAACGAGAGATAGAATCGAGGTTACGACATGTAGAAAGGGAACGAGATATCTACAAAATCCTGGCACGTACATTAAGGTCACATCTTCACACTTCGTTGCTAGGAGGAAACAGCATTTCTGACGAAGCCATAGAAGAAACTGCAGCGGCGCTACTTTTTGATGAAAGAGAATCTTTATCGGTTTTTAGCCTGGGCAATACATTACGACGGATGGTCCAAGGCATAAATGACGAAGAAATGGGGGATGACGGGGATGACGACTTCGAATTTTTGGAAGAAGAAAGTGATTATGACGATGATAACATGAGTGAAACGATGGATGACGTTGAGGGTAACAGCGACGAGGAAGACAGAAGTGATGATAATGAGTCTCTCTCCGCAACATCGAATTATCGTAATCAGAACCCTTCACTTGCAGCTGCACCCGTGGTTTCAATTGTAGGGGCACAAATTCGAAAAGTCTCTGTCTCTGAAGAAGATCTACCTGTATAAGAACGTAAGCCAATTATGTCCAAGCCATCGACAACTTGGAAATCGTTGACATTCACCAGGGTACAAATATTTATGACCGGCAAAAGTACTCCTTGCATTTTGTTAAATTTTAGTATCGATATACTCTAATAAACAATATTATTGAAAATATCTTCCATAACATCTTGATCTAGTCATCATATTCTATGTATTTCCGAAACTTGTGTGGCTCTTCSACTTCTGACGTTGAAAAGTTGAAGTCCTCTTCTCATTTTCATTCTCTTCCATCTTCCCCCCGTGGCTATGACTTCTTTGAATCTTGTCGATACTATTGTTGCTGAGGTTGGGATTATTTCTGTAATAAAACTGTGCCATGTTTGTAGTCTTTAGATACCTTTTTGAATCGTTGTGAGAAGAGGATATAGAAATTGTTTTATTTCCATGGAACACTGGCATGTGATTGGTTTGCTCCCCAGCTGCCTGCTCTTTTGAATGGTCATCGCCTTCGATGAATAGGCCGGATGCATGCGAAGCAGAGCTTTCGAGGCTTGCAGCTGATCGATGATTGCCTTTGAGACCAAGTCCAGCCCAGCCCGGCTTAATGTCGGCAGGTAGAGTAAGTGGCGTTAGAGAGGAATGGGTTACATCTTTATATTGTGCTTGATCCAAATCGTCGACAATTGTCTGGTCGCCAATTCCAAGACCTCCAAAGTTGACAAGAGAAGGACTTGTAAAAAAGCTAGGAACCTTCGCGCTTATTTTGTCACTCATTGAACCAATCTTTCGATGTTTTTCCCACTTCTCTGCAAGAATTCGTTTCCGTAGTCGTTGAACGCATCGGTCTAGAGTAATCTCTTCTGCGACGTGACTTTTGATAGCAGGTAGATGCTTCCATGTTTGGCGTTGCGCAGCTTCAATCCATTCTTGAAATTCTGCTTTGCTCGGATTGTATAATGCGTGCAACAAAGCACTAAATAGATGGCGATGACCAATCCAGGGTATTAGAGAGACATCGCAATCYCGTCCCTCATAATCCTGTACAAAGATCTGCGCCCCAATCGTACGCGAGGTAGCATGCTGTGGCGCATACCTTCTGCCACCTACCATCTCAACTACGTGTGTCAACCACGATCGGCATTGATCCTTCAAAAATATCAATATAGAATTCACGAGGCCTATCAATGGGGTCGACCAAATTGACTTCGAATGGGAATAGGATGCAAGCATCACAGCGTGTGGATTCGCTTGGCTAATAATAAAGTGGTTGACGTTGAACATTTCGCTAAGTTGCTGCATAGGAAGATCTTGTTCCATCGATCCATCAGAGAAACAAGCACCTTCGGCACTTTCATAACGGACTGTACCGTCGGCGTCTTTGACTAGAAGGCGATTAGATTCAAAAATTCCTGGAAGCGATGACGATGCCACAGCAGCGCTCCAGACAAGGACATGAGGGGCTGTGAGATAATTTAATAATCTAGGTGGATCACTAGAATTATTCGGCGTCACTGTACAAATTTGAGAAACAAAAAGTAAGCTTGAGCTGTCAGTACAAGATTCATCTTCGTCGCAATTGTTAACGCTTCATCATCTCCCATTCTAATGAAAAGAGYATGTTCTCGCAGGAGTAGATCCACAGAACTTTGTAGCTTACCAGTTATGTTCAGGATTCTTCCAGTTCGATCAAACGCTTCCTGGAAAGTAAAATCTCCTACATTAACTCGCAAGCACTCTCGAAAGTGCTCTGTATCGCTCATCAACAATTCCTGTGGGCGTGTTTTGAGCGTCAGAAGATCATAGAGAATCGAAGTGAAATTTCGCAATTGAATTGGTACAAAAATTTGCCAGGTTCGCTTTGCATCGTGGAAAAACCCCGCTGTATTTTTATACACCTCCCCGATCTCCGTATCTATTCTATTTGTAGACTGAGATTTCTGTTCATCATTTGCCATCCTTGGCATATGAAGAGGTCGGAAAAAATTAATCATGATCCTCCCTGAGTGACCTGGCGCGGTCGTCCCTTTGACATTAAATAAGTCATTGATGCATTCTTCGTCAGTTCTAGAAACCAAAAAGAAGGAAKATGTGAGCTTGTGACACAATTTTGTTTGGCAAACTGGTCGAATTCCACTGACCTTGTTCCAACCATGGCACAAACGACTATACGTATCATAGTAAAAGGGATTTTCGTTGAGAAAGAAAAATTGCATATTCTGAATGACATGACGAAAAAAAATTGAAAARAGACACTTACTTGAACCRGCAGACGACCCTCCTAGTACTCGTGGCATAAGTCGATTTTCCATCAGTGTTTTTACAACTCCAACGTGGTAGAATCCCAGTGCAGCACCTCCAGATAGTAAGAGCGCTGTTCTTCCATAAGAATGTCGTGTTTCGTTGAAGAATGCCAATCTTGCATCGGTCGGGATAGGCGATTCTCCAACTGCCACAGGCGCATCACAAACGAAATCCAATGATGCGCAAACAACATTGTGGTACCTGGTTGTTCGAAAGCAAAAAATTCAAGCACCATTTCATTGTAACATTCAAATAGAAATTAGTCGAGGCAAGCGGGAATCTTGGGTGCTCGTTTCAATCGAAAACAACCAAAATATTTACGCCATAATGAGGTGTTGTCGTGTTACTCACGTTTCAACCAGAACTTTTGTTCCTGCAATTGCTTTTGAGAATAATCCTTCGTGCAAAAGTCCATATCGATTTCGTCCGATCCCACCCCTCAGAACAAACATCAACTCAAAAATGTCTTGTCTTCGCATTAAGTGAACAAATTCATCGATCCGAGCTGAAATTCGATGACCTTCGTATAATTGGCTGCTGTTGTTCGAACGCCAAACGTCGTTCCCCTGAATATGATCGATCTTTTCTGCCAAGTCAAACCATTCGTCTTGTGACGATACTTCGTCTTGCTTGTGTTGGAGAGTACGAATAAGTCTAGACCTAGAACTGAAATTTGCTAGGAATCTGTTCACAATTTTCAGCAACTGAGACAGCGTTACCATCCCTGTTTCCAGAGCAATAGCCTGCATTGTATTTTGTGACGGAGGGAAACAAATCAGAGAATATATCACAATGGGTCAAGCAGCGCGTGCTATTTGCTATTAGCCGTGACAAAACCTTTAAGCAAATACACATATTTTCGATCTTTATGCTTACCAGCGCGAATTGTCGGGTCAACTGCCGTGTTCCGAAGATCAATTCCAATGCTTCTATCGTTGCTTTTCTCAAAATAGGAAAATTTCCGACCACGAAGATAGCAGCCCTGAATAAATTGAATTACGTAGACATTAGAACTCCAATGGTTAGAAAAACGATCCAATTGTTTCGCGCCATCACCCTGGTAACCAGTATTAGAAGTCRCTGAACTCACTCATCTACAAGCCGATGAAGCATTTCGATAGTAKGATCGATGTCATCTTTAGTTGATATTTTAGTCATATTCAACGAGTTAAAGTTGTGTCGTGCTATAACTATAAAATACTTGTACTTGTTATTGTAATGAAATACATTTGTGAGAGCATGCAATCGTGRCGGTACCGGTAGGGCGTCATTGATTGGGCCTTTCCGTGTTGGAACAATATTTTCTAGTGGTAATTGTATCGTCTTATGGAATACTTTTATCACGAATAATCGGAAGCCTCTCGTCTCTTCCTTCACTTGCAAACCTTTTGTGATTGACCAAACGAATGATAAGATGATTCCCATCATCATGTCAACGGGAAACAAGAGCATCATCGAAGGGCATATATGTTGGTGTCACCAAGGGACACAAGAAAAATAGTACCGGTACCGGTAGAAGTACTTCACGATTTTTTTATGTTGGGAACGACGGACAGACACAAGACTYCTTGTTGTAGGCCCAGCAGATCCACCTACAAGTATTGTGCACCCTGGCAAGCCTCAAGCTCATTCTTCAGATATTAGTGCAGTGATGAACCATCATGGTGAGATGAGACTACTGAGCACACAGCAATGCAAGTACTGGCATTGTTTGTAGACACATTCTTTCTTCTTGGAATGAGTTACTGTGTCATGATGGTGAGATGAGGAAGAGACTACTAATGGTGCTGAGGAGGAGCTACTACTAGTACTCATAGCACCAGTAGTAGTAGTAGTAGTAGTAGTAGTAGTAGTAGTAGTAGTAGTAGTAGTAGTAGTA